AGATCGAGAAGGTTTGGAAAAATCCATTATATATGTTTTTACACATTGCTGTGCGATCTAATACTTGTTTAATATTGACCAAGCACAGTTTAATTCAAATATCCACTTAATCTTTAATATTTGGCCATTTCTTTAGGACAGAAATGCTATAGCCACTGTAATTAAATGAATATGTGGACATCAAAACGTGTAAACTCAGAGTGAGGGTTTGAGCTTTTATTTTGAAACCGCGAGATAATGATGTATTCTCCTGTGTTTGCGTGGATTTATAAATTATTTACCTTACAAATCTGATGAAATGGCGCACGTTGCGTTCCCAGATGAACGTTACAATAAACCCAAACTCACAACAACATGCAGAGATGGAGTTTGAGCGGCTCCACACATATAAATGATATCAGTTCCTGTGGAGCAGCATTACTGTGAACGGAGCCGCTGTGAGACCCACGTACGTAACCTACACGCCTATAACGGCATCACATATAATTATTTAAATAAATCGTAGCGTTTGTGAATTCAGTTATGCTTAATTATGATTTTTAAATGGGCTTAATATATCATGCAGCCTTGGAAAACAGTCTAATAATGTTTTATGGATTCTCGTCCGTGAAATGCGGCACTTCTGGTATTTTGCCGGTTAGTCGACGCAGGCAATATTAAGTCGATGATTTTTAAAAGTCGAATAGAATCGACGAATCACGACAGCCCTAATTGGTAATGTTATTGTTTTAGTGATAATGCAAACAAAAAGTCATTTTATTTGTTGTTTGATTTTTAAATATAAAACTTGAAGTGATTTATGTGTTTGTACTTTTTGAACATCTCCAGCACATTTTAACAATACCGTGATAATTTCCCTAAAGTGCAGTCAAGGTCACAGACTTTTGTTCTTCGACTTACGATTTTCTCATAGTACTCTCTACGTCTCTCCCCACGCCGCTTGTAGTCCACCATCATCCCGCGCAGTTTGCGCTCATGTTTGCGGGCCTCCTGCCACATGACGGCTCCGCTTGGGGTTGGGGCACGTCGGGGCAGGGCTGCTGCTAGGGGAAAGAGAAGGTGCAAATCAACCAACCTACCCAACTAACACACTAGCTGCCACATATAACGCCGTTCTGAATCTGAATTTTGTATGTACCTTTACATTTACAGAAAAGTATATTTCACATTGGGAAAACGCATACCAAATACATTATGCTAAATTATTTTATACTGTATGGATTTCCCCACTTCACGTAACGTACTGCAGTAACTATACATTAAAAACACGACACTTGTGTCATGTCAATCAATGTACAATACAACTGTAATATTGTTAACGAAACTAGTAAACTGTCTTTACTGAACACAAAGTGTACAAACACTTAAAGGGAAAGTTGTTTATGGGTTACAGATTAACTAACCTTAATTAAAAAGTTTGACGCGGTCAGCTTCGGCGTAAAAGAGGATTATGTTTGCACGATAAATAAGATAAAAACTATACAATAGTAGAAACGCTTGACCTTTACATTATAAGTGCATAATATCGCATACTTTGCTACGCAGTAACAAAATAAAGCAAGAAAATGTAATGATAGCAAAGTAGCAAAAGCCTCTCATGCTAAAACCACAAACATATAAATTATGTAACTGATTTATAAAGACTGCCCATTATTCAGCTCGTGCAACCTGCATGCAATATTAAGATTTACGTGAGACTATATATAATATTGCAAAACGCTAGCTTAGCGGCTAAAACTATCATGCTATCTGGCTTTGTTTTACACCCAGCGTTAACAAACAGCTGACGATGAAGTGGTGTGACCGTCACCAAATAGCTTTTGCGATTTCTAGAATTAAATGAATTACCTGTTTATGTTTACAATACGTATAGTGTGATTTTTCTTTACAGAAAACACAAACGTCGGTCACCAAGTGGAAAAGGCCGCTAGTTTACATACACGCCTCTTCTTCTTCTTCCGTTTTTTTTGGCGCGTTACATCCTGTGTGCATATCGCCACCTACTTTTGCTGTTATACAGTCATGATTTATTTATTATCAATTTATTCCTTGTTTTTGCTTTTCCTTATATTTACTACACCTAAAAAGTACATGATATACATTTTCAGATACACCACATACATCGCATAACCCATTTTCATGTAAACCCATAAGTGCCAGTGTTGATTTCAACCCTGTATGTCCCAGTCTTAATCTAGACAGCCACACCTCTTCTTTCCTATTTCTTCCCTGACAATTTATCCTCCCTACTGTCTGCGTAATATTATAACACCATCTCCCTGTGCTGCTATTATCCCATCTAATTTGCCATTTATTCATTAACTTTTTCTTTAAAATCGACTTTGCCTCCCTTTTTCCCATATGCACTTTAACATCCACCTCCATCTTGTCTAGTGCTTTTTTTGCTAGTCTATCAGCAACTTCATTACCAGATACCCCAACATGTGCTGGCACCCAACAAAAATATACCATTATTCCAGCCTCTTTCAATCTGTATAAAGATAGATACACTTCCATTAATAAATCTTCTCTGTCTGATCTCGCATGTGCTATACTAATTAAAACTGAAGACGAATCTGAACATATTACCACTTTATTTGGTCTGACTTGTTCAACCCACTGTAGTCCTATTATTATAGCTGTTAACTCTGCAGTGTATACTGATAAATCATCTGGCAATTTCAAACTAATTCGTACTTTAAATTTGTGAATATATACACCTATTCCAACCTTTTGATTAAAAGGTTCCTTAGATCCATCCGTAAATATTTGTAATGTTGAATAAAATTTATTATTTAGAATAGCATTAACCTCCTTTCCAATGTATTCACCTTTGGGCTTGTCTAGTAAGCTCAAGTCTACAAGTTAATTTCTCCAGTACCGATAGCAGAACCGTTAACGTCAGAGCTTATCGATACTCCGATCTTTCATAATTTAGCCCCGGGACCGATTAAATACCGGGTTTCGGTACCCATCCCTAGTCTTACTTATCACACTTGAGGTTGTTCATTGTTTGCTCATAACTGGAGTCCATAATCATGCAGATTTTTTGCTACATGCTCTGAGTAGTATTGTACAGTAAGAAAGTTATTTTCCTTAAACAGGAAATTAACGTTCTTAGAATTGACAGACAGTTGACACTGAGAGGTCAAGTAAATACTTACAGCGGATCTAAATATTTATAATTAATCATAACTAGTTATGATTGGTTATTCATATTTCCCCTAGCTGATTCGCTACAATGCGCAGTTTGCGTTCAGTGGATACTCTCCAAAATGGCGCTACGCTGATGCGGAGGAGACGAATTGTTGAATAAAGTCATTATTTTTGTTTTCTTTGCATACAAAAAGTATTCTCGTCGCTTCATAAAATTCAGATTGAACCACTGATGGCAGATGTACTATTTTGACAATGTCTTTCATATTTTTCTGGGCCTTGACAGTGTAACTTACTTGGTAGTCAATGGGACAGTCACAAGCCTCCCGGTTTTCATCCAAAATATCTTAAATTGTGTTCCGAAGACGAATGAAGCTTTTACGGGTTTGGAACGACATGGGGGTAAGTGATTAATGACAAAATTTTCATTTTGGGGTGGAGTAACCCTTTAAGACCAAGAAACAGCCAAGTGAGCAAAATGTCATAAAAGTTCTAATAGATAAATAAAATGTGTAAAGGTTTTTAAATGAATACCAATTGTTTTTCATAATTTCTATTATTTGTCCAGGTTTTGCATTTTTTCAATGTCAAGATGTTGTAATTAATAGCAATTCACTTAATTTCGAAGTGGATTTGCTATATGTGACAGGTTTAAATTAATTGAGTGTCATTAAAGCATTTTGAGATTTGAGAAGTGGTCTGCATCTCCTGCATCTCCCATCAAAGCAACCCACATAAAAGCTTATTGTTCAAATTAATGCAAGACTCAGACAAACTCTACATGAGCGTGTGACTGTAATAAAATTATGAGATAACTATTCCTTCAGGAATAAATCTCTCAATGAGTAAAACTGGTCGTGCCTATTATTATAGATTTACACAATCATTTTTAATAAATAATAATACATTTATTATTTTAAAATATTTTTCCTGGTTTAACAAGGTACTCTTATAAGAAAATAGCAGTGGTTGGGGCTAAGTGGAGTCTCAGGATCACCTTCACTTAGGGTTGCCAACTTCACAAAAGGAAAATACGGGACAATCGTGGTTTTTCATAGAAAAATAAGAGAAATATATATATATATATATATATATATATATATATATATAGTGTTTATATATATATATATATATGTGTGTGTGTGTGTGTGTGTGTTTGTGGCTGCCCAGTTTTCTATCTGTTTTCTATAGTGTGTTTAGTGATGTGGTTCCTGGGTTTGGTGCCTGTAGGACCTAAAGATGTCGTCTGGATAGAATCAGCTCTGATATGTTTGTGACGACCGGGAGTGGAGTATCAAGGCCTGAATGTAAATCCAGTTAGCACACAGTGGCTGGGTTCACAGCACACGTAATTGCATTTTCCGTCTGTGAAGCCCCCAGGGCCTCGCAGGGCACAGCCTGTTTAACCATGACTATGACCAGCTACCAGACCTGAGCACCCGCTGCGGTTTTAGGGAAAGATGTATGTCAGATTTTGACCAAATGTCTCCAGAAAGATGCTGTGCGGGAAATCACCTGATATTGTAGGAATAGTTATTCTAGCTTCATCTAAAAAATCTTTCCAGTTTACTTCATATTTCAGTTCCATATAAAGTCATGACTATAAGTAAGCCATTCTTGATTCTCAAAAAGTATAAACACAAACGGCCCAACATCAACTGAATTGCTTTGAGCAATAGATGTCGATAGGAGGTTCCCACAATGGTATATATATATAAATGTGTTAGTGCAAATGTATGTAAACTGTAGATGCTTTAATGAGGGGTGTATTTTTATCTCAAAATTGTGTGTAAATGTATTGCATGTTATGTGTGTTAATGAAACGTTGTGATTAAGGTCAAAACATCTCAGTGCTGCTGTGTTTGTTACCATGAGAGACAAGAAAATCACAGCTCATATTACCAGCTTTCATCTTCCACTGACATGCTCCCTATACACATATAAATGCACTTTTCATGACCCCCTCTGATACCCAAAAGATAGCGATATTTCTCGTCAGCCG